ATGTGGGATAGGGTTTTTATTTTGTTTCTATACAAAATATAATACGACTATAGTACTATAGAAATAGCTAAGGATTGCGATTCAAATTGAGAAAGACCATATTCAACGAATATCCCTACTCCTTTATTTTCGTTAGTGAAATATTTGATTTCGAGAAAACAAATCTTTTCAGTTAAGATGCAATAATCGACTTTCTTTGTTTTTAAAATTCGAAAGGTCTAATGCTAGTAGCTTATAAAAATACGAATAATTTTAATTTTTAAGCATATGGAATAGGATGGACATGTTTTGATATATCCTATCGGCTCTTGTCAGTCCCGTCCCGATAGAAACGAACCGTAGTGGTAGTAAAAAAAATTTGGCATTTTTCTCAAATCGCTTCTATACCTAATTCTCATTACCATTTGTGGTGATGCTCTTTCTCTAAAAATGGTCAAGTCAAGATAAGTTTTATGGAATCTGGGAAGGCAACCATAAATTTGTGGTAAATTTTACTTGTGTAGAAATCGATTCTTTCCTCGTTTTCTTTGTATATATTTTGAATTGAATGCCAAATATTCTTGACCTTGTAATATGGTAATATGGTTATAGAGTGGTAATCTGGGAAGGCAACCATCAACAACGTTGTTGGCCACACAAAAAGAAAGAAAAAAGATGATGGACCCTAAGTTGTTGAACATTTATCTATTGGGCCAGGCATGGTTGAGTATATATGGTTCAAATTAACTTTGTTAAGGATTGTTCATAATCAATTTCAAACAGAAATATGCATATAGAGATATATTCCCATATATTAAGGAGAGAACCCAAGGTTGACCAAAAATAAAAAAATAAATAAAAAGGAGAGAACCCAAGGATTACAGGCCACGATTGTGACTGGGCTGTACGTTAACTTTAATGTTTCAAACTACTACTTATTCACGGGAATGATTTGTACCTTAACTTTACACAATTAATGTGAATTGGATTTTTAGCTTAAAGACACTGTATACCACATGTTTCGGAGACAGTGATGCTCTAATTGTATCTCTTGGAAATTTGGTAAAACAATCTTAAACTCAGCTTTTGATAGAACAGGACCATAACCACGTTTTAAGATTGTTGTATTTCTTGGAAACTTGAGTACGGATACTATATTGTCCTTGATGTCGAGCGACAAGAGCTATATGAGTATCATATATGTTTCATGCAATAACTTTTAAATTCATGTTCTTGCATTAATAATTTCATTATCTTCTTGATTGGATTGAAACTTTTCCTGATACTATTTTAACCCAACGAAAAATTCGAAGACTATCAGTTTTTTGGAAGCGAAGTTTGTTTATTATTTTAAAAATGTTTGTTTGAACAAGACATATTTTGGTGTTTATTATCTTATCTTGGTCTTACTTAAATATATCCTTTATACCGGTGGAAAATATATTTGCATATAACATGTACGTTTCTTTTTTTCTTCTTCTGAATAGTACTTTATTTTCCTTTTTTGGTCATTCCCCAATATGGGACATTTATAACATGTACGTTTCTCTTAACTCAAGCAAACCACAAACATAACTCATCTAATTAGTAAAACTCCAACATGAGAGTTGTATATTATATTTATAATGATGAATGAGACTTGTATGTTAAATATGTATACTTACATTAGCTCACTCGTGGACAACTGTTATTATAATTGAGAATGAAATAAAATAAACCAGATTGGTAAAGCGGACCAACCAAGAATTTTGGTCTTTTCTTGTTGTCAGGATCCTCTGTGGAACTTTCGCTTACATATATTTGTACTTGTGTGTATATATTATTTGTGAGTTGTTATTCGAAATCTAGTAGTCAATTTGGAAAGACTTATGGTGACTAGCATAGTGGAAAACAATGAGTCTTTCTATTCGCAATCATAAAATACTATAGTTTTTTTAAAAGAAAAATATGAAATGAATACAAACCAAGTTCCCTTACAAAAATGATAATTAACTGGAACGAAATTTTAAGAAAATAAATATAAACCAAGTTCCTTACAAAAATGAAATTAACTGGAACTAAAGGTGACATGTCGATGCATAATTAAATTGGTTGCATAGGCTAATTTTTCACTGTTTTATTTGGTGGAATCCCAAAGCTATGAATGTCAAATTGTTCTGCAAATCTTATGTGTTATTAAACACGAATTTGAATTTATTAGATTTCCCTCATTTTTTCCTTTAAAATGAAGGAACACTCAAATGAGAGAGAGTTTTACTCCAATGGTCACCTTCATTTTTTTCCTCAAAAAGTTTTATAAGCTTATTTAAAAGGTTTTATAAGCTTATTTTAAGTTTATTTTAAGTCATTTTTTATGTTATGTTAATTTTGTTTGTGTTTTTTAGTCTTTATTTTTGGTATTAAAACTAATTATTTTAATGTTATCGTTTGAATATACTAATGTATTTCTTTTAATATGTTATTATTGTATTTTTAATATTTGAATTAACTATTTAAATTGTTTTTTTAATCAATTTATATTAATAATTACGTTTTAAAGTTTTTAAATACCATTGGAGGTAATTTTGTAAGATATTTAAAAGTTTTATTGAACTGATTTATAAAAATAAACACATGTATATAAGTTTTATAAGGTATTTAAAATGATTTTTTAACCTAATGTATAAAGCTCTATTGTTACAAAAATACAAATAAAAAAGTTGAAGATTCAAAGTGCAAAAAAAAATTATTATACTAAAATGAGTATTGTAAATAGTATTCTCTCAAATTTGATGGAATAGTATTCATAAATTCATTTTTTCCCTTATTTTGAAATACCATTAGAAAGGATTTTCCTTCATTTTTTTTAGGTTTTCCCTCAAAATGAGGGATTTGGTCTAAATCACTATTCTATAACTTCAAATGAATGGCTAACTTGATTTTTTTTATTTCATGTGCCACGACTTTTGGTTCGAACGTGAGGAAAATATGTTGTCCAACTCATAAGGAATATATTTAAGAGTATTGTGGATTATATATATTTTTTTAGAATCGTCCAAAATTCCGTGACTCATAAATTTTAGAATCCAAACAAAAATTCTATTCACATATTCTATTGTCATATTTGAATAATAGTTGAACTACTGAAATATGCGAGTTACAGAGAATGAGATTCATTCCCCATGTGAAAGCTCTGCGCCCCTATTTGAAGACTTCACTTCCACCTATGCATTTTTGTATACAGAAGAAGATCAATTAATTGTAATTGTAGAAATCTTAAGTCCGTATCTTAATCACCAGACAGGCGTTAAGATTTAAGACAAGAATTATTTGATAGCTTTTAAATATATTAAAAGGAACGTAATTCTGATATATTTAGGAGTTGATACAATGAATCAATATATATATAAGAGAGTAGAATGTCCTAGAAGTGTCTATGTAAGGTATGTACCTAAAGACAGAGCAATCATATATATTTACAATAAATGAGAATCATGATCGTATCTCTAACA